TTTGAGCCCTGCATCTGGCACAAGCTGAGTGCTTTGTGGTCTACCATATGGAGGCTGTAATGATCTGACAGTGTTTACATGAGGTCATTACTGACAAGTTCGGCTGGGAGGGGAGGGACTTGGCCGGCCTAACTCTCTCTTCCTGTTGATCTGTACCACACAGAAACTCAAACCATAGCTTTGGTGATCATAATCGCTGGACAGCTCCTAGCCTGGATGCCAGACTGTTCCCAGGGCTAGAACACTGGCCAAACCTTCTGTTACATCCTGCTAGATGTAACTGAAGAGCCTGAGGGTTTGTACTACTAGTACTACTAAGGAGGTTTGTAGTAAAATTTCCTTGGGACAGGTTGGCCCTGGAGCTGAAGAGCTAGCCTGTATACTGGCCCTGGCAACAGCCTGGCACCCAGGCTAGCCCTAGTGGACCCAAGGAGCTATCCGGTATACTGGCCCTGGCAACTGTCTCGCACCTGGGCTAGCCTTGGAGCTAGTCTGTATTCTGGCCCTGGCAACAGTCTGGCACCCAGGCTAGCCCTGGATCCCAGGAGCTAGCGTGGCAACAATATGGCCCAGGCTAGCCCTGGACCCAAGGAGCTAGTCTGTATACTGGTCCTTTCAACAGTCTGGCACCCAGGCTAGCCCTGGACCCAGGGAGCTGGCCTGTATACTGGCCCTAGCAACGGTATGGCATCTTGGCTAGCCCTGGAGCCAAGGAGCTAGTCTGTACACTGGCCCTTTCAATAGCCTGGCACCCGGGCTAGCCCTGGAGCTGAGGAACTAGCCTGTATACTGACCCTGGCAAGTCTGGCACCAAGGCTAGCCCTGGACCTGAGGAGCTATCCGGTATACTGGTACTCAGGCTACTGCTAGGCTATACTGTAGCTCCTGGAAGTTAATTTGAATGTGAAAGAAATTGATCATGTTCTGTTCACCATGTTGTAATGTTTATTGCACACCAGTAGCTATTGTTCAACTGACCCACTCAAAACATCTGACTTGGGTTTAACTTCAACATTCTCATATTTATGTAAACAAACGTACCACAAAGTTTGCTCATCTTTTCATACAGCTGCAATAGCTCCAGTACTTGACAAACTACATGATTTAGGTATTGTGAATTTAGCTCTGAGGAGTGGAGAAGATACAGAATGGTAAAATCCTGAATTGTTACGTTTTCGATACGTGAATATTTACAGCAAATATTTACCCCTATATCATATTACCTGGCCTGCCATTGTCTGGTAATGTTGACACATCAATACCATTCAATCATCTTTCTACTCAAAGAAACGATAGCATATCTAGATATTTTTTGCTCTATGTTTGCTATATTTCATTGTTTGTGATTTTAGCTGTTAAGTTCAAAGTGTAACAGCTAAAAACAGTTTAGAGATATAATATTTTGAAAGAAGCTCAAGGCTTGTAATGTTGTATGTGTTGGCAGAATGCAGAACAGTCACTGAAAATTTATGGTGTTTCTGTTGTGTTCGAACAAAGCTTAAATTTTACAACCAGAGAGTTTAGATATTGTTATTTTAGACATAACAGACTATGGGCAAATTAAACCATGTACATGTATAATATGATTATCATGAAGTGGTTTTACCATAACGTTATCGAGAACCTTGAACTTTGACCTACTTCCACATGACACCCCCCACCCCCATCGGTCTACACAAAACAAATTTCAAAGCCTTTTCTTTTTTTGTAATCACCAGATGTTCACAGTGAACCTTGACCTAAACAATTGATTGATGGGGCTAAGTTTGTGGGGCACAAAATTGCGTATGCAAACTGGGCGTTTGGTTTGGTGTTCTGTACTCAAATGTAGGTGAAAGTCGCAACTAGCTAAACTCGGCCTTGGATACTGAGTATTTCCACCCCGCAAGTTATCTTGATTTTTCAAGACCAATTTGGTGACACGTGTACGAACAAATATGTTCCTTCCAATCTCTGGAAGCACGCCCAGTGTAGCTGGGTTGTGGCTAAGAGACTACCCTTCTTGAAAATTTGCGAGAGCGTTTACGTATCGAAGCGTTACCAGCACACAAAATCATATGCATGTATGATTGCCCTACATGTTAAACCACACCATATTCACACAGTGCAGTTACTTACGCAAACTGCAACGTGTTCATCATCCATTCAGGGCATCGCCAACCCCTGTGACTGAAACATTTTGCATCGATCCGTCGCCAGCTTGGCAAACTAAGCAGGTAAAACGTCACCAGCTACGTGCAATTTTTTTTTTTTTTTCGCACAAGAAGATAGACTCACCTCCATTGAAATTCTCCAACCTTGCATGGCAGACACGCCATAGCTGAGTCTAGCCGTGCCACCGTCCGCCGAGTCTTTGTCCAGTTTAGGCTCCGAGAGGTAAGCGCCCATCTTTCTGGCTCAATAATCCAGGTTGTGTGCGAAGATTTGATGCGGTACACGCGCGATAATTGACCAAAAATGTGCTGGAAGTGACCACGTGCGTACCTCTTTCTCTCCTCCCCTGCCTGAACCCCGCGCTACACAGACTGAAATGCCGGTCACGTGACGCCATTCGAAATTAAATCAATGACGTCAGGTAATTTTGGCGCGGCCGCAAACGTTGTTTTTTCACACATCATCGGTTAATTGTGAACCTTTCATGTCGTAATTTAACACAGATTTTAATGTGAAGTATTCTGAGTTTCATTCTTGAGGAAAAAATCTAAAATAAAATCGTACCCGGTTCGTAGTAGGTCATGACGTCAGATACTCTCGTACCCAGGCGCCAGGTGACTTGGTTGGGATCGCCGTAAAATATCGTTTGGCAAACGACGCATCGACGCCTGCTTTTGTGAAATGATTTGTGACGCATTCTGAGTATTAGATTTGTGATTACTTGATCTCATTTTGATTTCAGACGGCGAAAATCTCCAGTATATGCAAATTAACTCTCGAGAGTGAGGCTAGCAGCGCATTCGCACAGTTGCGCATTCGCATTTCGGACGTAGCGAAAACCTGGGAGCTGGAGAGAGAGGGCAGGGACAAAAGTAAATGGACGTTAACTGCCGAAGATAACGACATTTCTGACCGAAAACTGTCGGATTTCTCAGCGCCAGGATGCCGACCAGTAGTCAGGCGGACAGCATCAAGGGCTCCGAGTCGCCGCACAACAGCGGGGAAGACACAGAGGACGAAGAGGAGTCCGAGGTTTTGGAGGACTCGCCCTGCGGCCGATGGCAGAAACGCCGAGAAGAGGTACGGTGGATCATTTTCACCGCGCTCTAAAACCGGTTTTTCCTACGTTTTTGCTCAGAAAATGTAGTCAACAGTCTCAAGTTAATATTAGCATCATAAGACTGACGAAAAGCCGTCAAACTTTGCGAATTTTCTAGCACATTTGTCGTTCAAGAACCGGCCGGATGTTTTATTTTTCTGACACTCCTACCATTTTTCCTGGCACTATTTTCTGGCATGTTTTGTTGGATATTTCGTCACTCACTCCTCAAAATCAGCGATCATGCTGATATTCTTCTTACTTACACTGTATGCTACGCATTCATATACGGTTTAGCGCAATTTTGAGGGAAAATTATGCCAGAAAGCGCGGTTAAATCTGGTGACAACTGGCCTGACAAGGCTCCATCTTTGTGCTCCACGTTGCTGGTTGGTTTGTTTAGCAGTGTTTGTGGGGGAGGGGGGCGGTAGGCCCACACACATGACTCATTCATTCACTCCTCATATTACAACGTGACGTTCCTCTGAAGGCAGCCGGAAAATATCACGAAAGGAATGTTTTCTCTTTTAGTCAACGATTTGCCCACTTATTTTTGAAGATAAGGCGTTTGTCATCGACTTTGAAATTGTGTCATGTGAGCATGACCATCATAAAATATTTTATTTCCTATATGTACTTCCTGTACACAAGAAACAAAGTTTTTGTTATGGTCAACATCTTGACCCTTGCAGGTTTTTAAATCCTACATTAGTGCAGTTCACTGTTGTGCCTAGCTTTCATGTAGAACACTATTACCGGAGAATTCTGAGGGCTAAAGAGGGGCTTATGTCAAGAAAAAAGGGCCATATGTCTTCCATACTACATTTGATTGTTCTTTGTACTTCCTCTCCTAAGTAACATAAGACTGAGCAAACAACACGTAGACCATACATGTATGTGACAGGCTGCCAGTTTGGCCACAGTCTGGAGGTTAGAATTCAACACTAGACTAGAGCAGTGCAGTGGAAATTGACATTATCAGAGACCTGCCACTAAAGGCTGATGAATTCAAACATTTCAGATAGCATCCAGCCATCTTTCATCATTCACTGATTCAGTGGCTGATTTAGTGGCATAATTCAGCCTCATATCTGGAGACTCTTGTTTGCAGTACTTAAAAGAAGGTAACTGGAACAAGCAAAACATCTGCTTTTTTTTGCAGTTTGTTCCAGTAAATTTTCCTAAGAAAACTGAGTGAATGAGTCCTTCCTGAGTTAGCCAAGCCAAGTGGAAAATTAAGATGCCTGAGTGACATTCTATCAAGTTGATTAAAAATAACCAGGACAAAAGACTTTCACAATATGCTGGTGTTACTGAGTAAGTAACATCCCAGGTCTGTCTGGATAATGTATAGACAATTAACTTATTTAAGGTTGTGCTCTAGGGCATTATAATTAAGGCCAGTTCCAAGATGTGCACACTAAGAATTTGAGGTCAGTCCTTCCCTCTAGGCCTGACTTTTACGTACCAAAAACAAGCTGTGTTTGCATGGAGGTTAGACGGTCAGGTGAAGGTTAAATGTCTGCCAAAATGTCTGTGTACTGAATTATACATTGTAATTCATAATTTATAAATTAAATTTATGCTGTGGAATGACTGGAATGTGTAACTTTGCCAGCCAAAAGGTACAGTTGCAAGGAGCAAATATGTCAATTCTGTTGGTTGGATCTTGATGCTTCAATTTTTCCTCAGTATAAATTCAAAATCATTGTATACTGTAGTGTAGGCTTGTCTACATTTTTTTGCAGCCTCCACCAGGCCTTCCAATAGTGGTACAGATTAACAGATTGTAGAATTTGGCAAAAAAGGAAGGATAATTGGGAGAGTCAGTCTGTGGGAGAGTTAATTTGCACCTCAAATCAAATGAACTCTGCTGTGGTTAAACTACCCTGGCCAATTATTCTCTCCTTTTTTGCTAAATCTTACTGTTATGGAACCTGCAGTGTTAGTTTGGTAGAGACTACATATCTTGGGTATGGATTGAACGACCTCATTCTGCCAAGAATTAGGTCAGGTCAGGGGTCACACCAGTTTGTTGATATGAAGACCAGGAACCTGGATTTTTTTGTCACAGTCTGATTAAAGTATGACTGATACTTTGTGATCAGGTTAATCCATCAGGTTTTGTTTGTTTCATTCCCTGCAAAATGCATGCAGTAAACCACTAGATTTCATACTTTATTACTATTTCTAGTATATGGGGAGAAGTACAGTGAGAATCAACTGAAATAACAAACCCCCTATTCTAAAATCAAAGTTTGTTTCTAGTAGTTCATCACCTGTAAATCTATGTTTCCAATTTTGTCTCATGTAATCATATGTTAAACTGTAAATACAAATCAAAGACTTTAAAACCTGCCAATAGTGTGCATTATATATTTAAATGTACATTACATTATATTCAATTTGTCGTCCCTGTTTTCTGATGTTGCAGAACTTGTCTGAATCTCTGATATTATTATGTGTTGATTTATTTATCCATATACTTGTATATACGTTCAGAATGGTACTATAGGTGTGGAAGATCTTACAAAAGTTACTTTACATGCTGTACTTTTGTTACTACATGAATAGAGCTTTGGTATCCCCCTCCCCAGGTAAAACAGCGCGATGTGCCCGGCATCGATGCAGCCTTCCTGACGATGGACACAGGTCCAGTTTTCTCTCTCTCTCATTCATTCATTCTTTCGTTCACCACAAGTGAAACAGCGAGATGTGCTTGGCATCGATGCAGCCTTCCTGGCAATGGAGGGTGTGGAACGAGGTCCTGTTCTCTCATTCATTCATTCCTTCGTTCCCCCCAGGTAAAACAGCGCAATGTGCCTGGCATCGATGCAGCCTTCCTGGCGATGGACACAGGTCCAGTTCTCTCTCTCTCTCTCATTCATTCATTCATTCCTTCATTCGTTCCCCCCAGGTGAAACAGCGCGATGTGCCCGGCATCGATGCAGCCTTCCTGGCAATGGACACAGGTCCAGTTCTCTCTCTCTCTCTCTCATTCATTCATTCCTTCATTCGTTCACCACAGGTGAAACAGCGCGATGTACCTGGCATTGATGCAGCCTTCCTGGCGATGGACACGGAGGAGGGTGTGGAGGTGGTCTGGAACGAGGTCCAGTTCTCTGAGAGGAAAAGTTTTAAAGTCCAGGAGGTAAATTATTGTTATCATTATTTATTTCAGGCATCCATTGCCCATATACATATACTAGTAAATAAAAGAAAACTTACACATAGCAACTGTAAGCAACATTTAAAAATATGACTATTGATGGACCCAGATATTGCGGAAGAACCTGTTGCAGAAGATTACATTGGATTTAACAACAGATCTATTTATTAATAGTACTCAGTATAAGTGTGAATGTTCATCTTTGTTGGTTGTAGAAGTCATTATAAAACATTAGTTTGAACTGTAATTTTGAACAGAAGAATTGGACTTACCCATATTTTTCATAATACCTGCTACTAAACTACTATTTTCTAGTTGTACAATTAAAATATTTTTTTATAATCTCAATTCCATTAATACATTGGGGGGAAAGTGTGCCAAGCTGTGGTATACCTTTGATTTTTTTTTACCCTCAACAGGGTTGGACAAGTCCCATTGCCCACTTGCCCAGGGCAAGTAAAAGTACTGTTCGGGCAAGTAAATATCCCCCTGCACTTGCCCGATTGGACAAGTAAATTTTAGGATGCAAAGTATAGCCCCTGCATTATTTCGATCAAGTTTCAAACAATTTTGATGAATAAAGCATCCAATAAATAAACTTTTCTATAATAAAATAATTTCCTTTCTGCTAGTAAAATGAATAGAAATGCGTCATATTTTGGGCAAGTGAAAAGTTGGTTCGGGCAAGTGAAAATGACCAGGTACTTGCCCGGTAGGGCAAGTGGATTTTTAAAAACTTGTCCAACCCTGCTCAAGCCTCTCTTCTTGTAACATTTGCATTTGTACAGGTTCCATTTCTTTTATACAAAAGGTGCATAATTTCTTCCATTGATAATATCTTCCAATGTTTCCACAGGATAAGATACGAGCTGTCTTTGACAACTTGATACAGCTAGAACACTGCAACATCGTCAAGTTCCACAAATACTGGACAGATGGGAAAACAGACAAACCAAGGGTAGGTAGAGTTTATAAATTTTGTACCCTTAAGCAGTACAAATGTAGATACCCTAGTAATACCCTCCGCCCTCCATGTGTACATGTAGGTATTTATGTCTCCTTGGTAGTGCTGTGTACCGGTTCACTGGACATGGATCCGGACTTGTAAAAATGTTTAGGTTTAAGTCCAAAAAAAAACTAAAAGTCAAGAACCGAGTCTGGACTTATTACCCCCCCCCCCCAACCCCCCAAAAAAACATTTTACATACCCCTTTTCTTTCCAAACCACCTAAAACCTTCCGTAGATTGCATTTAAGCTTTGCCGCAAAATGAAGAAAACATTGCCATCTGGCATTGCAAGGTTGCCAACATGCAATTATGTATATGCCATGGGTTTAGGTCCGGACTTACAAGTCCGGCACTGAACCTAAACCTCTGGACTTGAATCCGGACCTGAACCTAAATGTGGGTTTAGGTACACAGCACTACTCCTTGGAAGTTAATTTTAAATTAATGTATTTTTTGTAATATATAAATTGTAATGTAGATAGCACTTTTTCTTGGGACTCCCTACATACAACAATAGTTTCTGGTCACCTGCTCAAGTAACAGGATCGACCCAGTTGTGAAATAGATCATACCCACTTGAATGCAAATGATAATACAGTCCCTGAGTCCCAAAAGGTGAGGTTTTTCTGCCATTCCCTAAAACAGCCTGCAGTTCACTGAAGCACTGACAGAGGGGGCTGCAAGATAGTATTTGTGATGAAAAGAGCATCAGTTATGTCCAGTATTTGGGTCATGCATAGAGAATTCTATGCCATACGTATGTATGCTTGTGATATCATTGCATACATGTAGTTTCTTCACCCCGAGAGGGCAATGTATTATTCCTGACTTTATGCAGGGCTCGAAATACCCGGTGGCGCACTGGCGCGGCGCCACCTGATTTTGCTTGGCGCCACTTATTCCTAAACTCAGGTGGCGCAGCGCGCCACCTATAATTTGCGTGGATCGAGCCGCTAATCGCATGGATCGGGCCCCATTGTCGGCACAATCTTGTGAATTGTCGATGAATTGTCGATCTCGCCATGACGCCACAAAGAAAACGTTCTCATTGGTAGAAAATCAGACACCTCGCTGGCGTTTCACAACACAATTTTCATGTAAACAACTCCGACTGTCCTTGTTTACATGCAAAGCGCGCCGATACAAAATCCTGCCGGCCGCCCGACCGACCGCATGCGAGGCTAAGTTTTCGGCGGCTCGGCGGAAAAATAATCCATCCCCAGAAGAAATTTTACGCATGAAAATAACAACTACAACTTGTTTTCGTCGTTATATGAGTTTCTGAGGCCGTAAAATGTTAAAACGGTTGAAATTTGTCGGAAAAAACAGCTCGAAAGACAGAATGAAAATGGCCGACGCTGCTTCCAACAATGTGGTCAAAGGTGAAGATAGCATCCAAGCGTCCAAGATACATGTACTAGTATTGCACGCATGAAAAATTTTTCCGGCAACGACAGAAATAAAAATTCACTCGTATTTTTAAAAGGTTAATTTGTAAACATTACCGTGAAATTTTCCGAATTTATTGGTTTCTAGTGTCAGAATATAATGTTGTTTCTATGAATGTGCGGTTGGATGCTGTGGGGGCTTTTACAATTGGGAGAATCAGATATTAAGAGCATGCTTTCTTTCTTTCTTACTTTCTTTATTGAGTGTCTCTAAATTTTTTTTTAGTATGAGTTTATAGACATAATCACATTTTTATTTGTTCAGCTGTGTCAATATGTGATTTTGTTTGGGAAATATGATTGGGTTAAAAAGTTTGGTATATATTAATTATGTCCGTAACACCTTAGGAATACTTGCTCCATGTTCCAGGTAATAAGTACATGTACAATTTGTATCATGTATTTTTCACTTGTTGAACTTGTGGAAGCACCGTTGGCCCCCGGTTAGGGGTCATCCGGGGAACCTATGCCCAATTTTTTTTAAATCAAGGGAGCTAATACCATTTTTTATTAGATTTTGAAGATTTGTCCGGGGGATATGTTTATTCCGAGGGAAAAGTGTTTATTTGGCAGATGAGAGTAACATTATCCTTGCGCAAACGAAGAACATGGCGCACGTAACACCACCCGCATAAGTGTGCCGCCATGTAGAGGCGTGACATTCCCACGGCGGCAGCCCTGTGATGAAGACATGTAAAGGTGGCATTCTTTATTAAAACATTGTTGTTTGAGAGCTTTTGTGTTCTTTACATTACTTTATTTTATAACATAAAACTTAAGTAGTTAACTAGAAGAAAACGTAATAGATATAAGTAGCAGATTTGAAGAAAATGATAACTTGGAAGTGTTGCCACTTGAATACTGATGGCGCCACCTGGCTTTTGACTCAGGTGGCAACATGCGCCACCTGGCTGAAAAAAGTATTTCGAGCCCTGCTTTATGTATTGCAAAATTGTAGAAAAAAATATTCATGGTACAATACAATCATATTTCCTGTTATTTTTTACCAATAACATATATGGGAGTTATGCAACTACATATTGTACAATGTACATTATTTTTTAAATCAAGAATGTTGTACATTTCAGTTGCACTTTGTTTATGAACTTAAGTAACCCATGATATGTAGTAACCTGAGGAATATGGCCTGTGGTAACCCTAGAAGTCAAGCCCTTGGTTCAACACATACATGTATTCAAAGCACGGACCCTGAATGCAAGAAGCATCTGGCATTCAGAAGTACAGTATGTTGTGTAACTTGTGTCAAACGTGGGGAGAGTGCTAGATGAAGCTAAAACTTAAAAGTCTTATGTACATGTACTATCTATAATATGTGAATGACGTAAATGAAAACTTCTTACATAAGCGTCCTCAAAGTGTCTCAAAAACTGGGAAAATAAGAGATCATGGGCTATTGTTGATAGTATCCATACCCTATCATTTTCCAAGCTTATTTGCATAAACATAATAGCATGACCTCATTCCATCATGTGAATAAGACCATGATACCCTTGGCCCAACGCTAGATTTTCTCTGGCACGTGGATGTCCGTATGGCCAGAAAAGAAACCCCGCCAAGCTGACAGATCTTGGGAAAGTGTTAGCTTAGCATTTTGTTACTGTGTGAAGCAGCGGTGCATGTAGATATCATCAGGAAAGCTGCCACTCTTAAACGTTTAGCGCTGGTCTGGAGGTTTACAGAAAATGGTTGTGCTGCAGAGTAACTTGAGGACTTCAGTGGAAAACCTATCTTCAGGCTATGGAGACACTGACAATGTATGTGTGTACACAGGGCTGCGGTGACCAAGGCTGGCTGGGGATGTGTTATTCCTGCTCCAGCCTTGGTTCTGCAAGGAGGGTCCCCCTTTAACCTCCTTGGTAGTTTAACTGCAGTGCAAGTTTTTACAGCTTAGTTTTAGATGTTCTAGTTCTAGCAAAACTTTCCCACACAGATTTAGCATGGCTGTTGACCATGCTAAACTGTGATATGTGAGTATGTTTGGGAACTGTTGGAAAACTTGCATTTTATGTACTAACTCTCATGGCTAATAATTTATCTTACATGTAGTTTACCTTGATAACTTTTACAGCATAGTTTTAGATGTTGAACTTGAAGTTCTGGCAAAACTTTCCCGTACAGATCTAGCATGTCTGTTGACCATGATTAACTAATAATATGTGAGTATGCTTATGAACTGTTTAAAAAAAAATTGCATTTTATGTACTAGTAACTCTCATGGCTAATTCTCTTTCATGTAGTTTTACCTTGATGACTTCCTCTGTTGCAGATTATTTTCATCACAGAGTATATGTCTTCGGGGTCCCTGAAGCAGTTTCTCAACAAAACCAAGAAGAACCACAAGAGCATGAACCTCAAGGTAAAGACAGAGTGCAGAAGTCTTAAAGATCTCTGAGGTCTTTGCAATTGCAAATTTCTCTCTTTGCTCATGTTTTGTTGACAAATGATGCTTCAGATTTGCTTTATGCCACGAAAATTTCTGTGTTGATGTGTTTTTAACTGTACAGTAAAAAGTTCATTAATGTAGTGCTACTCTGTCACTCATGCGAAGGTGTAAATGGCTGTAAAATTAGTTCAATTCAATTAGTTGACAGAAGTAGAAGTGTTGACTATGTGTAAGATCAGACTGATCTCTTAACAACAAAGTATAGTCACTTTCAGTTGTGTTTTGTTTAATCTTTTGTATGTTGTCTTAAAAAAAGTTGATTTACAGCTGGTTTTGGTGGAGGTTGTAGAGATTTTGTTTTCAGTTGAAGAGAAATTTTTTCTTCCCATTGTGTTTACAGTAAGGGAGGCAAAGGGGTGTATCTGTTACATTGTAACTATGGCAACAACATGGGGGTATTGATACTGTCATTAATCCACAACGCTATCAAACTTCCAAGTGCCAATCTGAGCTAAAACAAAAAAAAAAGTTCTGTAACTTAGCTTGATCAATGGATGCTCTGCTTTGAAAACATATACAGGAAATCAACTGCATACAGTAGATGCATCTGCATTTTTGAAAGAAATAGCAGCACTCAGTAGTTGGTATGGAGTATAAATAGGTCCAAAGAATTGTAGCCTGTGGATTATGTTTGGGTATCAATTTCTGGATTAAACACATATATCAGTGCATAACAACATTGTGGAACCTTTTCAAGTTGGTATGGGCATCATTAGGTGGAAACCATAATTGGGGCCTTTCAGTTTTACAATTATTTTAATTAATGAAATATCAACTGACTTGAACAAGAGTCAAACTTGCTTACAACTTAACACCAAAAGCCAATTGCTAGATTTCACTTGACCAGTATAGTTGGCCTTATGACAGAAAGAATATGCAAAATTTGTTTATTGAATTTGTATCATGTACTACAAAACAGATTAAGTCAAACTTGCAGTGGGTGTTGGGCGTAGTGGGTTTTGCCTTGACAAACCTATAGAGTCGGTGGTGGGCATTGTGGGTTTCGCCATCACATATTATATTTGTGTCATTAGGCCACAGCAAGTAAATTTCATGGATGACATCCTTGGAAGACTCCAAATCTAATTTAAAATTTTGACTTAATCATTGTACAAATGGTTTTGATTCAGTGGGAACATCACATATACTCAGCCAGCATCACATATCAAAATTTTGACTTAATCATTGTACAAATGGTTTTGATTCAGTTGGAACTTCACATATACTCAGCCAACATCACATATCACTGCCTCAAAGTAAGAAACAAACATTAAATCAGAACCTTTTCTTGTCTCCTCTCTTTATAGTTATCTGCCATCCACCTTCCGGCATGGCAACAGACATCTTTGCCCATTTTCGGCATGTTTACCAGTGTCAGAAGGCAACAAAATTTCTTGTGTTTTTCCCCCAAATCAGGCGAAAATTAATGCGCGCGCTGATGTCATCCATAAGAATTACTTGCAGTGGCCTTATTAGAAAACAACACAAATAGACTAAAACAAACCTATAGTTGGTGGTGGGTGTTGTGGGTTTTGCCATGACATGTACAATCTTGCTCCTCCCTTTCCAGGCCTGGAAAAGATGGTGTACACAAATACTGTCTGCACTCAGGTAGCCAGACCCTTGTGTGTTTTGCTCTAAGTCTAAGTCTAACCAATCTGAGTGTGTACAATCATGTAGATACAGACGGTTGAAAGACATTCTTTTAGACATTCTTCCCTTACCTCATTCTGTACCTTCCCCTTACAATGGAATCATGCCTATTGCATGGGCTGCTGCATGGGCACATGTGTAGTGAAGAAAAATATATAGGCTCTACCAACTGCGGGCTCCTTAGGTTGTTGGAAAAATAGTAAATTGTGGACAGTCAATGTACAAAATTGTATGCCAGAAGAGTTAGCTGGCTCGAGGCTAACAGCTAACTCCTCTATCACAATATGCAGTCTATTTGGTGAATTTCTACTATTTTTCAAGCATCCTAAGGAGCCTGGTAGAGGTTAGAGAAACCAGCTATTTTGGCCAGGTGGTAATTAAAAGGGTTCTTGCCAAAGGGCAGCTCGCTAGCTAAAGTTTCAAAGTTTACTGTAATATAGGCAATGCTCCAGTAATAGAAGTCAGACTGGTTGTACTGAATGAATGTGTGCGGGTGTTATTTCAGTCAAGGAGTACACTTTACACTTACAAGCTAGCGGATACTTTGAATGCAATTGTATGTGTAAAGAAAAGAGCTTTGGCTACAGAAAGCTTGCTTACTGTCCATTTTCTGCTGTTATGACCAGTATCAGCCTACACTACTACAATTGAAAATGATGCGAGACATTGATATGATTGTGTAATGTGAGTGTGTTGGCCTTCCGCATACATGTACCTATGATCTGACATACATCCTTAAAAGGTTGAACACAATGATTGAGACTCTGACCAGGTCCTACATTTCACATACATGACTGATTATATAAGTTTACAATTTGTGAGTGACTAATTTGTGAGAGAAGTGGTGATTATGATAGACTGCTAACTCCTGTTTAACGTTTGGCAACTGTATGTGTAAAATGACTTCAATATTCGATTGCTCTGTCTTGAACTAACCTGGGTGCCAGAATGTTGTCAGGGCCAGTATACATTTTTATTGTACAAGCTAGCTCCTCGGCTCCAGGGCCAACATGTCTTCAAGTAAAATTTTACCATCTAACTCCTACATGTTGCAACACTAACCCTTCTCAGGGTATAATTTGGGAGATGGCCTATGTACTAGCCTTGAGAGCAGTCTGGCATCCAGGCTACCTTGAACAGACCTGCTGTGTTATCTTGAAAATTCATCTGTGTTATTAGTATTTAGTTACTGTAAAATACATGTTTAAAGTTAAAACGTTTGTTCCAACACAAAGATTTGCTCTCCGTTGTGTTGGAACAAAAAATTTTAACTTTAAGCAGACTTGCTATGTGTGTCTTTGCCTTTTTAAATATTTTTCAATTGCTACTTTTACGTGTATTGCACAAGCTGATGTTGTGTCCATGTAATGTCTATTTTTCCAGCTACCTGCACAGCTGCGATCCACCTATCATCCACGGCAATCTGAACTGTGACACAATCTTCATCCAACACAACGGACTCATCAAGATTGGCTCAGGTATAGCACTAAGGACTTTCCTTTTCTATCATGTATGTATGCATTGGTTGTTACATACATTTTTCTTCTTATGTTGTCTAGGCCATACCAATTTATATTTCCCTGGTTCTTGGATATATCTGAATCAATCTGAAAATGTTCACACCGGTAATTATTTTGGCACCAAAAGTACTTGAAGATATCTGTAGTCCCTGTGTTCCTACATGTTATATATTGTAGTGTGAGTTGCTTTGTCAATGCAGTGTTTTGATAGAAAGTTCAATGCATTAAATTACATGTATTAACCAGCCTACTACCGGTAGGTTGACTTTGTGGCTCCTATACTAGAAATTGTTGCTACCGGTATCACAGTATGGGTGGCTCTTTTTTTCTCTGTCCGCTTGATGACTTGAAAATATCCGAAAACCAGCATTTCAAATTGGTGTGGCCATACAAAAAGAAAGAAGAAGAAAAGAAAATACTTGAAGAAGCCATCTCCCTGCCAAAGTTACCCCCACCATGTTAATTGCTTCACCTTCCCCTATGCACCTTGCTGCCCATTTCCATGCTCTCCACGCTATAGATGTTTGCAACCCCTTGTCTTTCACTCTCGCTGAGTCGCATGGTATTTTCCCATGAATATGCAAACTTTTGCCTGTGACTGTAGTACAGTGTGTAGTTAAAATTGTTTCTGTATACAGTAGTATGCCTACTAGTAGACTGCTTACTACTACTAGTATAATTGTTCTAACTGTTACAGTATTGTAAGGTAGATCTGTGATGTTTGGTTAGGATGCTTAGGTTTACGTCAGTAACGTTACGTGTTTATTTTACTTTAACGTTTATGTCAATATAGATATGCTTTATGCTAGTGATGCATACCGGTTCACTGGACTTGGATCCGGACTTGTAAAAATGTTTAGGTTCAAGTAAAAAAAAAAACCTAAAAGTCAAGAACCGAGTCAGAACTTATTACCATAAAAAACCATTTCACATACCCCTTTTCTTTCCAAACCACCTAAAACCTCCCGTAGATTGTAAAGTCTTTGCTGCAAAACGAAGAAAACATTGCCATCGGGCATCGTCAAGTGTCGGCCTCCATGTTATAATATGTGGCCAAAGTTTCACCCAGACAACATTGCGAGGTTGCCAACATGCAATTTTGTATATGCCATGGGTTTACCGGAACTGAACCTAAACCTCTGGACTTGAATCCGGACCTGAACCTAAATTGGGTTTAGGTATGCATCACTACTTTATGCCTCAGTTTTAGAGAAATACATGTAAGTATCAAGTGGGTTTATTCTTGGATTGCTGAAATAGGCTTCTTATATTATAGGAGTTCTTAGTGTTGTCAGCGATTCTTTCTGTTCTGCTTGTCAGTTGTACACTTTGTCTGTAGACGTTACTATCTATGGTAGCATCATCAGTGCTCCTTTTCTGCTGGAGAGGGGTGATGCAATGGAAGAACATGCCACAGTCTGATATGCAAGTTGTACCTGTACATGTACATGCACTTCAGAATGAATGCCAGAAGCCTAGTATGTTTTCAGTATGGACCATAGCAAAGTTCACGTGTTCATTGTTAGCAAAATATTTTGCCTCTACTTCAAATGTACATTATTATTGGACAGTAGTCATGTAGTTGTTGATACACTGTTGATTATGGCAGGAGCTTTGTAAAACTTGAAAGGACTTAAAATAAGTCCAGTTGCCTTGGTGCTTTTCACAAACCTGTTGTTTTGTACCACAGCTGAAGTACAAAATGTAGATTTATAAAAAGCACAGATTTATAATACGATAACATTTTACAATTATACCTTGTTTGTTTCTGGTCTAAATAGTACTGTTAGAGCACAAGCAAGCTGAAAAAGGCAGGTATAGCTAATTATTAATGGCCTGTGATCACTAATGGCATTCAAGCTGGTGGCATCTTCTCATTGCAGCCTTGCCTCTCCTAGCTGTACTGTAGAGCCTTGGTTATCAGCAAACAGTCAAACATGAAACTTGAAATCATCATAATTCAGTGATAATTACTTTGAGGTTTTGCTTTGCAAACCATACAGTCAAACCTGCCCAAGGAGACCACTATGGGGATCAAGAAAATGTCTACATGTAACATCTGTGACCATAATATCACCAGGGTCCATAATATCACCATCTTGAGAAATAGTGTGCTTTAAGATATTTTTACTGCAACATACTTTTGGTGCGCACTCCTGCACACCTCAAATGAACATACCTACTTGTAGGGTATGTTGCAGTAAAACTATCTTAAAGCACACTATTTCTCAAGGTGGCGATATTATATATGGACCCTGGTGATATTATGGACATGGATGTTACATATACATTGTACAATGTGTGTGGGTCACTATAGACAGGATTCTTAATGCTTGTGTCAATGGTGAAAATTATCACCAAAAAGTGATCACTTGTACGGGCTTGACTGTTCATTTTACACATGGAGTCATTCAAGAGATTTAGATTTTAACCATCTCCCTGCAGCTTTCTGTTGTCACATTTACAAAGTTGCTTACATAAGAAGCCCTCTGCAGGGAGAAGGTTAACTTATAAAGTTATAGACAGTTACATTTGACACATAACCAAGGTTCTACTGTACCTTCTATTGTATCCAGAACCGTGCCTATCTAGTTCTATGCCTGAATATAGGTTAGGCTCAGGCATGGTTCTGGATAGTTTCCTCGTACATTATCCAGGTACTACGTAGATATTAGCCCCAGGCACGGTTCTGGATAGGCGTGTACTCACTCGGGCTATCCTGAACCGTGCCTGGATTGTTGGTTGTTCTGGATAAAGCACGGTCCTGGATGCACCACCTTCTTTGCGACACTGAAAAGACACTGGTCTCCTGTGCTCTGTCCTCTCTAGTTCTACAGAGGATAGATGTCAGTGACGGTGAGCTGTCTTCTTCCTCCAATGCAAAGCACATAGTCAGAGGCAGCCATTTTTTTTTTTCCTTTTTTTTCCCTAAGGCCATGTTGATTTGATTATATGGATGACGTCCACGTGCACATGAATTTTTGGCCGTTTCCAAAAAAAAAAAGTTTTCAACCATACTGTAAATCGTACAATACAGTTGCAAAATGAGAAAATATAGACTGTAAGTTGGAAAAACAAATATTGGAAAATGATACCAATGTTGTAGAATGCCAAAATCAAACGAAAACATGAATCGGAATATGTAAAAAAATTTTAGGCTAGATTATTCCCCAAACCATACTCTGTGTCATTTGTTCAACCTTCAAAACCACGTAGATTTCATAATGAAAGCAACTTTTTTATTGGCCAAACTTTTTTTTTATTCGCACGCTCGCATCAGTTTTGGGGTTCCCAGTCATCAAATCAACATGGCCTAATTCTTTCCGTTCGATAGAAGATGGTGTAGAATTTCATATTCTTAGGCCTTAAGGAAAAAAATGCTGTGTTTTCAGTTTCCGGAACACAAAAATCTACCAACCCTAGCCTTTTTCGATCTACAGCTGGTAAGGCTATAAACTTTTTGATTTGGCGTCTGAAATTCAAGCCCTCTGAATTTCTGAAACGTCATTTTCAAAAGCAATCTTTTCATCAGTTAATCGGGTGGAATACAACGCACTTGTCCACAAGCAAACGGGTGGACCTGAAGACTGTTGCTGTTAGACTTACATGTAATTTGTTGAATCATTTTTGCCAAAATCTAAAAAAAAAAACAACTTCACAAACAAGAAAGGAAAATCAATACCTGCCAATCCTAGTTTTTTTCGGAACTGAAAACGGAAACACAACATTTTTTTCTAGGCCTTACTCCCACAGATATCGGATGAGAATCTCTGACTGCCAGACCCCTTTTTGTTGCAGCTTCTGCTTTACTACATGTACATGTTCTTGAACGAGACATGTGTAGTACCATGCAGTATTTATGTATTATAAGGCATGCCTTGTAGTTCATGATAGCCATTTGTCCCTTCATTTACCAGCATGATATGTCAGACAAAAAAGAAAAAGATTATCTCTGTCTCTCTCGATGTGTATAGTTTTCACTCATACTGATGAAGGTGTGTAGTATGTGGTGGTTTAGTTTTCATGATGTTGGAGAGGTGTACTGAACTTCCTCTGCTGCAATAGAGAACGTTTAGTCCATGTACGTGTAAAAAAATTGTTCATCAGCACTCCTTCAAAAAAATGAATGATGGCGGCCCTAAAAATCTCTGAAGCAGGCTGTCTGCTTCTCACAAGTGGTCAAATTCATAGTTTGAAGAACATGTAAATCATTTTAAGAAAGAATGTACTAGTACTTGTACTTCCTTAGGGCTGACACATGGAAACACTACACACCTTCAATGCATGAGAGAGAACTTGGTGTATAGACAATCATACAGTATGGTTTAGGGATTATCTTTTATGGCCAGCCAATAATGTGTTGGTGTTGTGTCTTGAATATTGTTAGCAGGCAGTTTTTGATAAAAGGTAGAAGTTTGAGGTGATAGTGCACCTCAAATTTGTCCTATAGTGATTTATTAAAGATGCTAAGAGTACAGCTAGGGTTTGTGCAGGTGATTTTAATGTTGTTTTTTCTTCTTCTACCGACCAGTTGCACCTGATGCAATCCACAACCACGTGAAGACATACAGGGAGGAGCAGAGACACATGCACTTCATCGCTCCAGAATACGGAGGTAACTCAGGACTCGAAATTCATTTTTGGGAATAGGTGCACTGGTGCACCCAACCTAAAAAATTGGGTGCACTAAATTTTTTTAGGTCGGTACCATATAAGATGAAGTAAGTAGAATGTCAGCAAAAGCTAATTATGTTTCATTTCAATCTGAAGAAAAGCACTATAAGGCCAAGGAAAAAAAATGTTGTGTTTCCTGTTTCAGTCCAGAAAAAATTAGGGTCGGTAGGTAGGGATTATCTTATTTTATTTTTATTTTTTATTTTTTTTTAGACTTTGCTGATTGCTGTGTTTATATAAGCAGAACATGATGAAAAATCGATTGTGCAATATTATATTTCATCACTCAGGTACTCAGGTGTCAGATCATGGAGCTTTAAACGGTCGATCAGATGTCCCTAGCCCTTGCAGGGCTAAATTCAGATTCAGGTCCTGATTCAAGTCTACAGGTTTTCAGGGTTCTCCCAGGGATTTGGGAGAAAAAAAAGAAACAAAAAAGAATTCTAAAGAAAAAAAATTAATCTGCACAAAATTTTAATTGGTTTCTATCCCTTTGTTTGCCTAAAAATCGATAGTGTGATTGTATCAATTTGAAACCCCAAAAAATTAGCTAAATCGGCGATTTAAGGTTATTGCGCAATGGACGTGCCCTATGACCTTCAACCTTTGGGGGTCATGCAGGCGTCAACAGCGCCCTCCCCCATGCCTTGCCAGTCCGTTTTCGTGGGCAAATTTCTGCTTTTTTCGAGGTTTTGCGACCTAAAAACTCACATCAGAGGAAAAATACACCACAGACGACATTTTCATGGTAAATATCGATAAATGGACCAGGCATTTTTCTGTCCCGTTGCCGATTTTGCTGATTTTCGCCATGTGCTTATAATTTGTTTAAGTCGATAGCTACCTTTCCTCGTCCGGTTTTATGGGCAAATTTCCGCTTTTTTAGACGTTTTGGGACTAAAAGACCGACAAAGGGGGAAAAATAAATCATATACATTATTTTTATGAGAAATACTGCTATCATGGACCAGACATTTTTCTTTCCCGTTGCCGAATTTTTGCGGCCGCCGCATGCTGATGGTGCAGTACGGTATGGAATTTTCTACGATTAGTTCGTAAATGTAACGTTATCGGCTTTTAAACTTATTTTCGGAGTCGATGGCTTTGTTTTACAAACAAATCAGACAAATTATTAGCGTTGTTTACACGACTTCAAAACGCTAGCGGGGCGCCCGATGTTCCACCAATAACAGCGATTCTGTCGGTAGCGTCGTGCAAAATGTTTTGGTTCAGCAATATGCAGGGGTCCACACAAAAATAAGGCTAGGGTCGGCGGTTTTTTTAGGGTCGGTCGGGAAACAGGAAACACAACATTTATTTTCCTAGGCCTAACTATCATTTTATTAGTTTTCTGACACTTGGATGTTATTGACATAGCTATCATTTTATTAGTTTTCTGACATTTGGATGTTATTAACTAACATAGCAATATGCTATATACTACGGTACATTGAACATCTTTACGTATGTAAACCTACGAAAATATTTAGGTGCACTGGTGCACCCACAGAAAAAAGTTGGGTGCACAGCTCCAAATTTGGGTGCAATAAGGTGCACATGTACCCAGTATTTCAAGCCCTGTAACTTATCAACTTAACCCTGTATTAGCCATTTACGGTTTGCGTGATATGTCAAAGTTGTAGGCATGAGACATTAACGAAACACGTCTGGTAACCACTCCATCTAACCCTTCTGATTCAGAAACAGGTTTAAACTGAACACAAATATTGGACTTATCTAAACTGTACCGTTCAACTCCAGTCTTCTGTGACATCCTGATAGTCAGTGTTACATGTTGAACCTCCATTTTTTTGTGTTTGAAATTACAGTTCAAACCTATGTCAATATAATCTCTACCAACGCAGATGAACTTGCAAGCTTTGAATCAGAAAAACACTTAGACCCGGACTGTATATTAAGTATTTGCTTCTGTACTAAATACAATAGTTGACAATGTGTTCTTTTTCACAGGAAAGGCTCCTGTAGATACAGCAGTTGACATCTACTCATTTGGGGTCTGTGCCTTAGAGGTAAGGTATTGACATAGCTAATCTGGTTATATGTGCTTAATGTTTTAACCTATGATCAGCAAACAATTTTATCAGATGGGCAAGAGAGTGTATAAGAAAAGTTCTTGTTTCAACGACCAATGCTTTTACCTTGCTGCATTGCAAATCAGAACCAGTCATTGTTGCCCTGAAGAAAGAGACAAGTCACTGAAACGCTAGATGTAAAAACCAGTGGCTGATGAATAAAGAATCTTTTATTGTGACATTTGAACAATGAGAATGATACAACACTGACATATCCCTGCTCCCTTGTAGATGGCAGTTCTGGAAATCCAGCCCAACGGAGAGGGGACTTTTGTGTCCAAGGAAGCCATCGAGAAGGCAATTGAGAAAGTAGAAGATCCTAAACAAAAAGTAACTTTTTATCTATTTTTCTATTTCTATTTACCCAGGCAACACTCAATAGACTACTGAAGTCAAGACTGTGTGATAATCCTTAGTTTTACCTACATCAAATGATTTCTTGTTTGTTTGTTTGTTTGTTTGAGCCTTTGTTTATTCACGAAATACGACCGTCAGGACGCTTTTCATTAAGTCACAGACATGAGGGAAGAGGTTAAGGTCAGATAAAATATAGCAAGATATGGGTTACATGTTTGAAGTCTATTAACATAAGTCTCCATACATACTCACACATGCATGGTTTAAAAAAGATGCACGTAAACACACACACACACACATACACTCTACATGTACAGTAGAGTAAAAAATAACAAGTGGAATTCATACATTTGTATAAACTTTTTGGATTTCTAGATTTTGTTCTCAATAGCCACAATTTCTTTTGCAGGATTTCATAGTGAAGTGTCTTACTGAGGACCCGGTGAAGCGCCCGACTGCCAGAGAGCTGCTCTTTCACCACGTGCTGTTCGAGGTTCACTCACTCAAGCTGTTAGCTGCTCACAACTTTGTCAACAAGCAAAGTACGTTGGGAAATCTGTAACTTTATAGGGCCTAGGAAGAAAATGTTGTGTTTTCTGTTTGCTGACTGACCCTAGAAAAGAACTGCCGAGCCGAGCCTTTTTTTGGTGGACCCCTGCAAGGGACATGATTTTTTTTTAGCTGATCAACCTTTTCTAGGTCCATGATCTGACACCTGAGTGATGAAACATTGTGCAATGAGTTTTCTAACATTGACATTGAAAGTATAAGTGTCCTCATGCAATTTTTACTTTTTTTAAAATAATGTATTGTATAAGTTGGATCACTAGAGATCACCAAAGCCTAAAAAAGATAATCCCTACCTATCGACACCATTGTTTTCAGGACTGAAAAAGGAAACACAGTCAACCTTTTTTTCCCTAGGCCCTGCCATTGTCTACTCTGAAAATCTTTGATGCATGCATACAATGATGACTGACTTGCTTTAACCTGACTATTGTTTTTTCCTGTTGACCAGGAATATTGCCGGACAACATCGATGAGCTTGTGTCAGGGGAGGACAAAGTTCTGGCCTCGATCCACCATGCCGACGGGAGGCCGTCCTGTCAGCTCAGGTGAGAAATTCTATCAAAATTGTGCAAGCTTTGGACTGCTCATTCTTCTGTTACTTATAATAAGTTTGTGCTTAAGTTACCTTATTTTAATTTGCCCCTTGATTGTACATAAGTTTCTTCAGTGATTAGGTTGTATTATGTTGTATTATATTGTTATTATTTTATTGTGTTTGGGGATTGCCCCCCAGGGTGCATTGAAAACCGCCCTCCCGGGCGATATGTTTTCTGGTTAAATAAACAAATAAACAAACAAACAAAGGTCTACAACGAATGTGCTTAGGATGAAATGTGCAAGCTTCATGATAAATGAATGTCACTCACTTACAATCCAGGATTATTTTTTATTATTCTGCTGCTGGTGTCCCTGTCACAGGGGTCGGCAGCAGTTAGCTACGTAGTAGTACTGGTCTTGATAGATGAGAGTGCGCTGTAAAATGAAGTTGGCACAAATGGTCTTAAAAAATTGAGACTAACATCCTATAAAATTATGATTGATTGTCCCTTGATCCTGATTTGTTCTGAAACGTTAGTTTAATGCTTGATTTATTCCTTCTTCAGAATGTGCGATGTCCCTGCATTAGAGCTGGAGAAATTCCTGGAGGATGTCAAGTAAGTATTCAGTGACTGTTAATCTCATGGTACCAAAGAGTGTTGTGGACAGTAAGAAGTCCATAAATGATTTCATCAGGTTTTTGAATGATTAAAACCTGTTTCAGAATGATTTCTACCAGTCTTGTTGAAGAAATTCATCTGTCATGTGTTTATCACAGTTAGTAGAATATTCCTCAACTAGATCAGTAACGTTTTTATAAACTTTAAGGTAAAAACATGTACCTCCAAATTTTTTATGTCTGCTGTACATCTTGCTGCATTCTTAAAATTCAGGTAGCACACTGGGCTACATAGGTTCAAAAGTAGGTTGCCCCAAGTAAAATTTGGTTGCCCGGGGCAACTGGGCAACCAGGTATTTTGCATGCTGATCAAAGTGACCTAGTCTCATGAGAAGATTTGTGCAGATTTTCTGGCCTCCCCGTCTCCTTGAGAAGCAGGTTGTTGCAATTCATCCCGGCATGTTCCAGTTTCTACCAACACAGATGAACATTCAAGCTAACCTTTGTCTTCTCTCTTCCCCCAACCCGACACAAATGGCATCTACCCCCTGACGGCATTCGCCATGACCCACCCACAAGTGTCCATCCCATTTTTTGTACATGTATGTTATCGCAAGGTGGAGTCCAGTTTGAAATGTCTTTTTTCTTCCCTATCCCAGAAATGGGATCTACCCCCTGACGGCATTCGCCATGCCCCACCCACAAGTGTCCATCCCATTTTGTGTACATGTATGTTATCGCAAGGTGGAGCCCAGTTTGAAATGTAACCTCTATTTTTTTTCTTCCCCACCCCAGAAATGGCATCTACCCCCTGACGGCGTTTGCCATGCCCCACCCACAAGTGTCCAAACCCCGGCCTGCCTCTCCAGAGGTGGCAGAGTCGGAGAAAAGTGCCACTCCTGAGCCTGTGGAGATGGAAAACAGACGGGTGAGTGTTTTGTGCGTGCTCATGCGAGTGCGTGTGTGTGTGTTTGTGTGTGTGCTTGTGCGCGCGTGTGCACATGCGAGTGCGTGTGTGTGTTTGTGTGCTTGCTGCTTGCGCGCGCGTGTGCACATGCATGTGTGTGTGTAGATTGTAGATGAATATGTGTAAACTGGCAGATGGGGGATTATAGCCAGAGTGTGTATACACTACAAAGTCATGTTGGTGTCCATGTCTGACATTTTTGTTTTTCCCCAGGTGAAAAAAATGAGCTGTGATGTCAAAGGTCCAGAAGAAGGACAAGACACTCTATCTGTAAGTATTTTCCATCATATTTAGCCAGAAAAATTACCCGTGTTGTCTTAGTGGGTCTTCAGTTAAGTTACTGACTCACTCATACTTGGTATTGCCATTGCCTGTGTGAAGACTTGCATACTGTGTATGTAAGAAGTTGCTAGGTAGCTGCACTGTACATAAAAGTATATGATAACTGATTTTTTGTATGTTCTTGACTGTTTGTTCTGCAGTTGACCATTAGAATAAGATTTGAAGACAAGATGAACAGACAACTGAGCTGTGAATTCAAGCCATGTAAGTACATTTGGTTTTTTCTTTTGGTGCTGTACAGTCGTATTTCGTTGATAAGTATTCTGACAATCTAGCTTGTCAGGCTCAGAATCTTGATGGCCAACACCTCTATCTAGGTTAGGAGAATTTTCATGCATGCCAGCATGGAGTAATCATTGTCAGATTAAAATTAGGACTGTCTGTTACCATAGTGTTGGAGGCTATATATTTGACTGTATTGACTGTTTTTTGTGGGCCTACCCCAAAACGTAAAGTATCAGTCTGTACTCTGTTAACAGTTTTAATGTTGATTGTGACAAATTTTGTGTACTATTATTTTCTCCTGTGGAATACCGGTATGGCTTCATCTGTAGCCTAGACTATGAGTTAAAACTTAAGATTCAACACAAAGTTCTCTCACCTAGAGCATTCCACCAGTCACTCTGGTCTTCCTCAGTAGACTGACCCAGTAAGGCTTGTCATGCGACTTCTTTGAAGTGTGACGTCAACACTGTGTCGGATCTAAAGTTTTAACTCTAAACATGTCACTACCAACACAGGTGAACTTTCACCCACTCACTCACTATCCAGGATTAGATTATACTGCTGCTGTTGTCCCTGCCACGGGGGTCGGCAGCAGTCGGCTAGTACAGTTACTGTAGTAGTACTGGTCTTCACACTGCACTACCAGGCAGCCCTATCCAGTGGGTCAACACCGACAGGGCCGCACTCTCTAATGTCTCTCTTCACACACTCCATCCAGGTCTTTTTCGATCTTCCTCGACCTCTGCTAGGCAGCTGCAGTTTGATGATGACATTTTTTTTTACTATTTTCTCCAGTGGAAGAGCCTTCTCTTTTGGCATCAGAGCTAGTGGAATACGGCTTCATCTGTGAGCAGGACAAGGAGAAGATCGCCAAGCTGATAGAAGACCACATCAAGCAGCAGCAGCAAGTCCCTCCCCTGCAAGTATCCCCTCCCACAGGAGTCACAACCATTGTGACCACAGCTACAACCACTGTTACAACAAGCGCATAGAAGAAGGTCTTATATTATAATAATATATCATATCAGGGCTGTCTCCAGAGTTAACCCTCAGTCTCTCCTCCTGGTCACCCCTCCTGTTGTAGCCACAACCACTGTTACAACAATTGCATAGGAGAAGTCTTTTTCCAGGGCTGTCTCCAGTCTGAAACTTTTGTCTGTCCCACTCATTTTTTAAATTCCCAACTCTCTGAAATGCTCTAATTGCACAGTTTTTAGAAGCAAGTTTCCATTAATCAGCCATTGTAAGGTATTTTTATGTCACAAAATTTGTCAGATTTTTGGGGGGACAGAAGCTACAGCCTAGTGATGCTTACCGGTTCACTGGACTTGGATCCGGACTTGTAAGAATGTTTAGGTTCAAGTCCAAAAAAACCTAAAAGTCAAGAACCGAGTCCGGACTTATTTACCATAAAAGACCATTTCACATACCCCTTTTCTTTCCAAACCACCTCAAACCTTCCGTAGAATGCAAACTCTTTGCTGCAAAATGAAGAAAAAATAGCCATCGGGCATCGTCAAGTACCGGCCTCCATGTTATGTGGGCAAAGTTTCACCCTGACAACATTGCAAGGTTGCCAACATGCAATTTTGTACATGCCATGGGTTTAGGTCCGGACTTACAAGTCCGGACCTGAACCTAAACCTCTGGACTTGAATCCGGACCTGAACCTAAAATTGGGTTTAGGTATGCATCACTACTACAGCCATAGTGGCAACAGCCATCCCACTGTTAACTACAAGTGCTTAAAGGAGAAGTCTTACCCGGGCTGTCTCCAGTCTGACGCTTCTGTCTGTCCCACTCATTTGTGAAAATTTTAGGCATCCTTTTGGCAACATGTTTGTATTGGTTATGGGGTTAGGCAGCAGGGTGAAGGTTTATCTATTATCTGTCTCATTTTTGAAGGCTCAAACGCAGTCTAAAATGCTACTTCACAGTCACATTAATTTTGTAGAAGCAAATTTGAAGAAATTGGTCATATTGAGCCTAATCGAAAATCTATTTTCATGTCATGATTTTTGGAAATTTTTGTCCATCCCAATAAGCAAATGAAATTCCATGCTAGGACGAAGAGAAGGCTCTAGGAGGCAGCAACGATTCATCTACTCTCCTTTCAACTTCCTGATTTCATGGAGCTGCTTGTATTCCATTAGATAGGAATAAATTCGTCTGACAGAAAGACAAGAAGAAATGATGATAATTAGGACAGGGTTTCAGCTATGCTGATGTTGAGCTTTATATAAGTGCCTGAAATGTTACGTAAATGTCTAACAGATATAGCCTATAGATCTAGCTCCTGGGGTCAACTATGGTGAAGCAGTGCCCTGATCATATTTCGATTTTGTTTAGTTAAAAAAAAAGATGTTTCTGCTTTCTTCATTCAAGTGTTGGAGGATGACTGGGATGTTAGAAGGCTGATATCAACCTTACATGTACTATGACACTTGTGAGATGCATATTGGAAAAGGATATGTTGAATCCACTGGTTGTCAAAGCTTAAAGTTTAACTGTCAAAGCTTGGGACCAAATGCAACTAAATGTAAAGCTGAGTTCTCAGTTTTTAGGAGTTCATTATATAGTACAAGCTTTGTGCAGATTTTAGTAATCACACATTCTGAACCTGCTCCGATTGCATCTTTTTTCCCAAAAGTTGAAACCCCAGACTCCATACTGCAACCTAATGTACTTGTTGAATCGGGCCAGTAGCCATACCAGTGCAGTTTTATGTATTAGGTATGACCAAATATGTATATATTATACATGTACATCGCCATATGTTAACCGTATGTTATTTTTTTTGCATTTGCTATAAGAATGCACATTGTATAATCTTAATTGTTACAATGGAATTAACA